TGTGTGTGTGTGTGTGTGTGCCTGTCACATAATGCACATGCCGACAGAGTGGTGAAATGTGGAAAATTCGTTAATTCTAATGATAATTCCCGCCAATGGTTTTACAAAATTTGTTTAAAGATGTAAAATAGTAGCAAATCGACGTTGATTAGTTTTATGGGAGAACACACTTGGTATTATTCTTCAAACTTTAGATAATGAATGCCAGCGTTTTAAACTGAAGATTAAAGACAAAACATAGTTATGTTCTATCGAGAGTACATCTTTTTCGGCGTTCCACCTGGGGTGTATGTACGGGTTATAGTATTTTGGAGGCGTTGGGTGTCTTTTGATTAATGCAAGTAATTCGTGGCTATAATACACGAACTGAAAGAGCTCATATGCAAGGTTTAGATATGGATGCCTTCTACAACAATACATACAACAAAAGCATTCATTTCCAGCAGATTATACAAACTTGCCCAAAATATTGGGTATCGTTACTTGCACTCATTTGTGCTTATCGTAGGTTCCCTAATTTTGGGAACGGCCTAATTAAGAATAATAATGTTAGCTGGACTGGTCAAGTCTACTTTCCTTCGACTGCCAACAGTTTATTCTATGGCAGCGCTAATGGTATACAGAACTTTATAGTTGTTCTCTACAATAAGAGGAGTAATAAAAAGAAATACAAATAACACGGTCATAATCATAATAATGCAGATAATTACTTAAACATAGATCATGCATGCAAGAAATGAATCCCGTACTCTGAGATAAAGGGATAAAGGACAAGCACTTAAGGAGTACAATTCAATCCAAAGACCAGCACAGTGTCTTTCGTATTACCACAAAAGCTGAGACCACCATTAGCCAAAGAAGTAACAGTATTCACATGCTGGATTCCCAAATGTCACTGGTTAGCATTTCAATCCATTGTTCAGGACCTCTTTGCCTGAAAGACCCTGGACGGTGCGACGAAATTGGACCACAACAAGGCCTTGTGTGGATGTCCTCGGGGAAGAGAAAGCAAAATGCAAAGACAAAAGATTGAGACAATAGATGCGAACAAAGGTCATAGAAAAAAAAAGCCAGATCTGTCCTCTTCGGAGGTGGATATTCTCCCAGGGCTCACACACACCCGTCCACTGGAGACAAAATGACGCTGCCAACTTCAGCAGAACGATGGTATTAAATGAAAAAGCCCCCCCCCCCCCCAACATTTTTCACAAAAATCCGTCCCGGAATGGCTCTAGAGCTATTCTCTCTCATGTTAAGAAAGAAGCTAAAGTAAATGCAGATGAAAGCAATTATAACAAGTATGCAATAGAAAAAAGACCTGTTTAAAGTCTGAAAGGTCGCTTTAAGGAAATTAATTGTTGTTATACGCAATCCTGAAAAGAAAAGTAATTTCAAGTAGTTCGTGCTCATGGCGTAACGATAAACGTTTGTTGTCAAAGACAAATTTTTCTTATCTCCCCTCATTAATGTTAGATGGCGAGGCTGTTCTTTTTCGTTGGAATATGTAATAAAAATCGTATCAATGTTGATGGTTTTGAATTAGCTTTTTACGACTTGGAAGTGAGATTCATATTGATTTATATAGTACCCGAAACCACAATATCAAGGTCCAAGGACGTAAAAGAAAAGAGTGAAAGGTGCGACGAGCCATATTTAAAGAAACTGCAGTTTCTGTTCTCATAATGAAAAGTAACTGGTCGGTATGCATACATGCGTGTGTGTTTGTGTGTGTGTGTGTGTGTGTGTGTGTGTGTGTGTGTGTGTGTGTGTGTGTGCGTGTGTGTGTGTGTGTGTGTGTGTGTGTGTGTGTGTGTGCTGGTGTATCTGTGTATCCAGAGTTTTGACGCGCCCCACAACCCTGTAAAAATTGTCAAAAGGTTTGCCCCGAAACCTACGACATGGCACACAATATTTTTTGAATTGAAGTCTGACCCTCTTGATCTCTCGTATGTGACAGATCACATTGGCATTGCTCTTGTTGTAATATTCTTTACTTTTACTTTTATCTGCCGCTTATACCCTTTTGGGTGTCGCGGGAAGAAAGAGGCGTCTCTCTCTCTCTCTCTCTCTCTCTCTCTCTCTCTCTCTCTCTCTCTCTCTCTCTCTCTCTCTCTCTCTCTCTCTCTCTCTCCGACACCACCCGGAGAGCTTGGGTCAGGGGGATGCCATGGGTTATTAGTGTTTCCCTGGCCCCATCTATCCATGTCTTTCTCGGTCGCCCTCTAGCCTTGTTGCCATTGAAATTTTTATGTAGGCTCGTTGTGCTGTATGTGTTGGTAATCGCATGAGATGTCCGAACCATGCGATTACCAATACACCATCCAGCACAACGTGCCTACATTGTTATATTCGTCCCCCCAAAAAGATAAAAACTTTCTGGACGCAGAATCGCCTGACAGAGTGATGCAGTTGTATAGAACCCGACATCAGCCTCTTCATACATAAAGCATGTTTTTAAGTACAGGGGAACCTTAGATTGAATCAGAAAGTGGCTGTATTAATAAGGCTTCGGCCAATATTGCATAAATTGAAAAACTATGTAGACACATGTAGAGACAAGTCAACACAGCTGACTCGATGAAGGAAATGTGTTTGTTGTAAAGGCAATGATACCTGCGGTATTGGAATTGAGGCCCCTGGGGATTCAATTTTTTTTTCTAAATCATCATCATCATCATCATCATCATCATCATCATCATCATCATCAACAACAACATCATAATCATCATCATCATCACGTTTTAAAGTTGAAAATAATACTTGAGACTTGAATAGGGTAAGTTACATTTAATCAGATGTTCGTATAGGCCTGGACGTTCAACGTTTCGCCAATGAGGCTTCATCAGGAACATAGTATCTGAGAGAAAAAAAATGAGTGATGACGATATAGCAACAAAGCGTCCATTATAAGTTGCGTATTGGTGCGATTTGGACAATATCAGAAAGAGCCGAAGCTCGGAAAAAGAAAAGCTAACTCGTTACTGCCATGATCTTGGCTGAGCTTATAGATACGCTAAAACTGGTCACACGTAGCGTTGAGAGCTCACGCAGAACTGACGCAAATTAAATTTGGAAAAGTTGGGGGGGGGTGGGGGTAGATATACAATCAAATGCAACAGCACAAAGAAAGGGAAACTCAAAAGTAAAAGTCTCACCACATCATGTTTTAAAGTAGAAAAAAACATACTTAAGACTTGAATAGGGTTGGTCACATTTAATCAGATGTTCGTATAGGCTTGGATGCTCATCATCATCATCTTCTTCTTCTTCTTCTTCTTCTTCTTCTTATTATTA